CCCCTATGCCTATCACTGTTAAGTGGTATTCCTGATGCCTCCGATCGCTGAAATGTTTACGTGGTATGCGGAGGCCAATTAAAACTGTTTTCGCCTTCCAAACAGTGACAAATAAAAACAAAACACGCATGATAATACATTTATGTCAACATCCCTATCTTATTAAGTTGTACCAGCTGAGTACACTGATATGACTCAAGCGTTCTTAAAAAAGGTATGAAGACATATTAAGCCGGAAGCCAAGAGATGACGTTTGGCACCATATTAGGGTCCTGATCCTTAAAAAGCGTTCGTGCGAAGAGCTGCGAGATTTATGTCTTCAGAGGTTTGGTTTGGTTGGTTCGTTTACGCCGCACTCAGCAATATTCCAGCTATATGACGGCGGTCTGTAAATAAGTAAATAAAAGTCTGGACCAGACAATCCAGTGATAAAAATCATGAGCATCGATCAACGCAATTGGGATCGATGACATGCATCAACCAAGTCAGCGAGCCTGACCACCCGATCCCGTTAGTCGCCTTTTACGACAATCATAGTCACCTTTTACGGCAAGCATGTGTAGCTGAAGACCTATTCTATCTTCACGGGTTTCAGAGGGGTGCAACACTCGGGATAATTGGCAGTCCTTGCAGGTTTTTTTTTAATCAAACCCCACTTTCTGTCTGCTGTCAATAAATCATTTTCATTTTCTAACGGTAAAAGACTATACTGTTTCAATTTCAAACATGACAGTGATCACTTCTAGACCAAGACTAGAAATGGGAGACTAACCTTGAATCACTGTCTCCCTTTAAAATGTACTGTTAAGGAAATCGTAGTGCTACGAATGCTTTGTGACAACATACGTTTATTTTCGTCTCACCGCTACACATCATAAAAAGCCATGCATAAAATGGGAGTTTATAAATACATAGAAAATAGTGCAGCACTGCAGGGAGACAATACAAATATGACAACTATATAGAGATAGAAATATGGACCCATAAAACAAAGGCTTTCTGCGATGTTATAAAAGTAAGCAGGTGATGGCAATGACATGTGCCTCATGTTTACATAGGGCACACACTTCTCGTTGTTTGACAGGTTTAAAAAGCTGCTTTCCTGAATAAAGTAAATCTGCGATCAAATCCTCATGGACATAGAAATAAGACATGTTCTTCATCGTCAATGTGATCAGTATAGTTAAAACACATCTTCAACATTTAAGTTAACATATCTGCCCAGTTTAGATTCTTAAAGGTTCAAAACCACATCAGAAATATTCATAAACAGAAATCCGTGGCATAACGGATGGGAAAATAGGGTACATTTACACGATATTGCATTTGTCATATCCGGCAAAGCGGGTTTGGGTGATCCTGGCACAGTCAGGCTGGTTGGGTTCATCATCAGCTCAGGGCCCTTGCCGGACAGCGAATAGGACTTCTCCCAGGAAGTGCTGCCTAGACGAACCCACTCAGAACATTTCGAAGAATTTGAAGACTTTCCATCACTGCAGTCTTCTGCATTACTCTGATTGTCAGAAGGGCTGTATTCCTGACAGCAAACCCCAGCAAACCATTACCCATTAGGGGTGCGTTCCTGGCAAGTGCTCTCCCAATGTCAGTCAACAGTCTGGGAGGTACCAAACCACAGGCGCCTTATTTCCATAAACGTATGGATGTCAACTTCTTTATCAAGAGGAACACAACGTTTCGGAGTGTATGCTTACTACTTCGTCAGGTGAGTGATCCTTCATTCACTTATTCAGTCGATCTTCTATAACCCAGTTGATGAAGACTACCTCTACACATTCTATCTCTTATGTGCATCACTTCTAAATGCCATTCATAGACATGTCACATAACGTCAGGAAATATGCATTTGGTAAACGTACTCGTCACACGTTCAACAACAGTACTGTAAAATTCAAATGTTGCCACTAGTCTTGGCTCTTGGTTTCATGTTGTTTGTTTGTTGTTTAACGCCGCACTCAGCAGTATTCCAGCTATATGACGGCGGTCTGTACATACTCGAGTCTGGACCAGACAATCCAGTGACTGCCATCATGATCATCGATCCACGCAATTGGGATGCAATGGCATGCATCAACTAAGGCAGCTAGCCTGACCACTCGATCCCGTTATCCCGTTATTCGCCTCTTACGGCAAAACATAGTCGCTTTTCACGGCAAGCATGGGTTGCTGATGACAACTATTCTACCCCGGATCTTGAGGACTAGATTATTGAAAACTGGTGTATGTTTTTAGGTCTGATGAACAGAACCACAGCGATTATCAATACCCACTCCCAGGGTAGAGACCAATAAGTACAATGGTATATTTTTATGCACACATGTCTTTCTTTAACGATTAAACACGGGCATATTTGTTGTTGTTAATGCAAGCGATTAATTTAGTATTAGGTTTTATTGACCCAGGTCCCACATCTAGATACATCTATTTTGTTGTTCAACGCCGCAGTCAGGAGTATTCCGGATATATGGCGCCACCAATAATTATAAATAATAGAACATGGACCAAAACAATCCAGTAATCGATATTGTGAACACGATACACGCCGTCGGATGACATGCTATCAACCAGGTCACCGAGTCTGACACCCCGATCCATCAAGTGAGTGAGTGAGTGAGTTAGGTTTAACGCCGCTTTTAACATTATTCAAGTTATATCACTTAATGTGGGAGGAAAGCCCGAAGTGATGCAGGTCTCAGACATTTACCACTTCGGTGAAACCCACGAGCATGAGTATGGTGCTGACAAACTTAGAAACATAATTGGGGCGACCCGGGATTCGAACCCACAGTCAAAGGTTTCTGGCGTGCCCAAGGGACGCAACACTGCACAGCGAATCGCGGCGCTTTAGACGACTGGGCCACCCGTGCCCCCCGATCCATCAAGTCACATCTTAGACGGAGGTTGCTGTGGGCCAATTCGGACCCGGCATCACCTCGGGAGGACACATTATAAAATAATAATTAATTAATCAAACACAAGTTTATGACATAACGATAAGAAATGGAAAGAAAGAAAGAGTTGTAAAAAAGTTGAGAAAGAAAATGTTGTACACGCAAATACGCTTTCACGGTTCCGCCTCTGAGCTGCATAGACGTCAGGGTGTGTGGTGAGGTGAGGTGAGGTGAGGTGAGGTGAGGTGAGGTGAAATGGGGTTTAACGTCGCGTTCAAGATTATTACACTTATATAGCGACGTGCATGCACGTTTGTGTGTATGGCTGCTGGTACTAGTCCGGACTGATGCCGATTTATAGTGCTAGCCCACTGACATACCATGCCGCAGTTTATCATGAATACCCCACTCAGACACAGTATACTGACTCCGAGCCGACCAGTCCTAGTTTTAGCCCGTTATTGCCGAGCGCCAGACAGGGACACAACAACTATCATCTTTTAACGTCTTTTGGTATGACGCGGCCGGGGATCGAACCCCGGACCTTCCGCTCTCCGGGCGGACGCTCTACGACTAGACCACGGAGGCGGTCCAGTCAGGGTGTGTGAGTGTGAGTCAGGGTGTGTGAACGCCTAAAGCAGCAATATTTCAACTAACTTGTAGCCTGTATATACTAGTATATTGGACAAGCCGGTGACGCGAAACATCCCAGAGCTTGATACTATAAGCAACAATACGTTGTCGGTTGATTGTTGGATGGTTTGTTGTTTAACGCCGCACTCAGCAATATTCCAGCTGTATGACGGCGGTCTGTAAATAATCGAGTCTGGACCAGACAATCCAGTGATTGTCATGCGCATCGATCCACGCAATTGGGACCAATGACATGCATCAACCAAGTCAGCGAGCCTGACCACCCGATCCCGTTAGTCGCCTTTCACGACAAGCATAGTCACCTTTTTACGGCAAGCATGGGTTGCTGAAGACCTATTCTACCCCGGATCTTCACGGGTCGTATACGTTGTCAGAGCACGACACCATGCAGTCACGTCACCGAGCCTGACAACCAATCCATTTTAGTCTACTCGCACGACCGAGTGAGTATGTTTTTACGTCGCTTTTTACCAGCAATATCACGGAGGGGGACACCAGCAATGAGCTTTACATATTGTACCCATGCGGGGATTTGAACCCAGGTCTTGGGCGTGACGAGCCAACGCTTAACCACTTGGCTTTCCCATCGCCCCGACTCTTACCACAAACATATGCTTTTTGGGAGTAATCATACCACTCAAGGTTTAATCATATGGTATGGGTTGTCCAGCCGGTCGAAAGCTGGTCTGTGGTCTTCTGCATGTAACGCTATCCATGGTCGTCTTGAGCACTTGAATGTTGCTACGCCAGAAATATTACAGTTATATTAAAGCGATGTGTAGATCATCAAGTATGGACATGAAAACTAAACAGTTAAAAGGAAGAGCAACGAGGAACGTCCAAGGCGCCGCAATATGATGTGTGAAAAGCTGCGTCCCGTTGTCGTGACAGGATCTGATGAATTTGAATTCACCCTTATTGAGATCCTTGTTCTTTGAGCACCATCCCCGCGCTGATTAATTACACGAAAGCGGTTAATACTTCCCTTCACGCTACAGTGATAAGTATTTCAGTTATATCACAGTGGGTCAGTTTGATGTGAGAGAAAATGGCGATGTGATGCAGGTCTTAGTCAGTCTCCACTTTGATGAAAACCGAGAACACCGATAAAGTTCTGACAAACCATAACCAATGCATATTGGGGAATCGAACTAAAAACGTGTTTTTCGATCATACCATATAGACGCCATACACTATTCACAGTAAATTGTAGCGCCATATATAACTGGATCGTTTATCCGATTACTATAAACAAAAACAGTAACATAAACAGTTTTTAGATTAGTTTCTAATTCCATTTAATCATTAATGTTCCTGATGTGTGACTCAGCGATACCTCGTCACACGTGCTTCGAATCGATCTTTTAACCTGCAAGTACGCGCAGGATCAGAGGCGGAGCCAGCAAATCAATAAAAGGACTATTCCGCTGAGCGCTAACTGGGATAGTGGTGTGTGCATGCAGGTAGTGAGTAGACGGAGAAGTGTGTGATAAGACAGAATCAGATACGGAGTCAGACAAGGAGTGTGCACTTACAGGTAAGCTTTACAGCATTTGGAGTCACCTCGAAGTCTTGCTGGTTGAAGAACCAGGTTGCTGCAATATCACCCAAATAACTGCAGAAACACAATGTATCTGAGCATAAACCAAACCTTTTTTATAAAAGTGGAAAGAATCAAAGTTAAAAAATGCTAGACTAGTGGGTGAATGTTAGACTCAGCATTAAAACTTCACAAAGAAGTTGTTCAGTGTAAAAGAAAAGGCCACCCTAACTTCACACTCAAAACTTTTCCTACTGATTCGTGTAATAGTGCAAATGTACAATCATGTTCTATATTTTAATGTGTCATTAAAGTATATATGTATATTACAGTCAGTTTGTAAAACCGGTCAATGTATGTTTTAAAAGTTTCACTTATGCCAAATACAAACGCCTGAATATTTCAGTTATTTTACAAACTGGCAGACACATCTGTCCATTTACTATATTATGACGAATTCCAAGCATTTTAATGCATAAATATTATAACGAATTCCAAACATTTTAATGCTTAATTATGTCATCCAGTGCCATGATAGGATTAAATGAAAACAAAAGTCAAATTATATATTGATTATTTTTGCTTCAAATCCTAACATAATGAATCTATTGTGATAGCCCATTTGAACATCTTGATACTTGTTAGACAATCTTTCAAATAAATGGAAAGATTTGTTTGTCAATTTGTCAAATTATTTAAATATTTAGGCGTTTTATGAATGGCCTCATTCAGTCATATTTTGCACATTTTAACATATATAAGTTGTGTTAATCCATGTAATTAATTCGTAGAAGGTGAATGATAAACAAATATGCATGAAGAAAACATTAGAAGAAACACAAATACATATTGAAGTATGACGTCCGTCTTTAAACTGTGTGCTGTGCGTTTCGATGTTTCACATATTGGATTGAATGTCACACCTCAATGTCATATTTGAGATTTAAAGCTTTCATTGTTTTCATTGACCTTCAGACACATCATACATACAGTGTTTTCGTTATTTTCAGGGAACCATTCATATACAGTAAACTACGGTTATAACGAACACGCTTATAACGAACTGACGGATATTACGAACTTACCTTTTGGTCCCGACTATTTGCTGTAGTTATGCTGTATATATGCTTATAACGAACTACGGTTATAACGAACTAAACTTAGAAGTCCCTTTGAGTTCGTTATAACCGTACTTTACTGTAATTGTCATCATTACATTGCCCTTTACGCTCTTTGGAATCTGTTTCGTCAGATAATGGAGATTATCACTTGAAAGTTTCCAAGAACGCAAACCATCATTGAAAGTTGCCAATCATGGAGAAAACGCTATGTTACCAACTTTCTTTCCTGATGCGTATTCCAGTTATATCGCGGTGTGTCAGCTTAATGTTGGAGTAAAGCCCAGAGTGATGCAGGTCTCAGACGTTTACCACTTCGGTGAAACCCACGAGCACGGGTATGGTGATGACAAACCTAGACACATAATCGGGGCGAACCGGGATTCGAACCCACAATCATAGGTTTCTGGCGTGCCGAAGGGACGCAACTCTGCAGAGCGACTCGCGGTGCATCAGACGAGTTGGATTGTGACGAAATGAACCCCCATATTTTACCTGAGAATTTGAACTTTACTCGAGTTCTCTATAGATATGTTTGGTACCCTTTTTGTTTTTATCGTATGCGGATATAGCATTTTATCATTAAATTGGAAGGTTTTTCGGCAGCATAAAAACAGTATCCGTTGGGGTCATATGCAGATCAAGAAACAAATAGGGGAAGGTCAGCCAGGTACTACTATCAATGTTTACAAACAGCCACTGCGTCGCCCTCGTCAATCGGCGATCTAGTCAAAATTAACCATCGCGAAACTGGGAAAATTATTGAGATAAATGTTATTATTATCAACCCAATAATAAAGAAGTTGACATCCATTCGTTTATGTAAATTAGGTGCCATAGGTTTGGTACCTCCCAATATGTCGGACATTGGATAAGTACCGGGTTTGTTGCCCTTCCGACAATCTGGGTAACGCAGCATTCTACAGTGTTGGTGAATCGTCACATTCTCCGAAAAGTTCTCGGTGGGTTCGACTAGGCAGCGCTTCCTGGAAGAAGTCACATAGGCTGTCTGGGCTGCGTGTTGAGGGGGCATTTTACAAGTCTTGGCAACTTAGGCGATATAAATTCCGAAAAGATTTAGTGAGTACACCATTTTCCACCATTGGGTCTTTTCATCGATTTAAAAACCATTATAACCTTCCTTCCTTTCGTCACTGTGTTCACATGTGACTCGGCAGTTCGATCGTTAAGTTATGACAGGCCAGACAGACTCTTAACAAACGTGACTAGAGTAGCTTCACTTTAATACACGGGCGGACTAAAGAACTTCCTCGAAAGGCCCTTTTGAGAAGTACCTGTATTCATAAAGCTTTTTTGCTTTCCGAGTGCTTATGTATCCTGTGTATATGACTGAATAAAAATTTAAAAAAAAAAAAAAAAAAAAAAAAAAAAAACTTCCTCGAAAGGCAAGTATAACAATTCATGTAGGCAAATGTTATTTTGCCTATATGAAGTTATGCCAATATCTTAAATCAGGTTTTATTTGGAACAATACTGAGTGCGATCACTCTACGACTGACTAATATATAAAAGAAAGACAAGTTCTATGGATGAACAACTTCTTTATTACAAATAGTGCGACGTTTCGGTGTCTTACTTACTTACTTACTTTGGAGATTTAACGTGCGCTTTCCGACTGATGCGTATTTCGCACACGGGCCCGGCCAGGCCATTTAATGTGTTTCCGAAAGGGGCGAAAGTGGTATGTGCAACCGAAGAGGGGGGTTTTAGGGGTTGCTTATATAGAATTTGGGAATTTTGAGATTTGGAATAGATGCCGATGGGATTGGGGAGGAGAACTAAGGGAGCTGGGTATGGTGGATGTTTGTTTGTTTATGTGATTTTGATTTGGTAGGTTATTGTGTTTTTAGATGCGTTTTATTAGTTCCGTTTTTATTAAGAATACGCCTAAGGCCTTGAAGTTTTCTAGTTTATTTTGTGGGTTTAGTATTGCTTCTAGAGTTAGAGCCTTGTTTAGATTGAGGGTGGTTTGTAATGCGGTTCGATGTGTTAGGTAGTGTGTGCAGTGGATGAGTGAGTGTTCTGGGGTTTCTGGTTGTTTGCAGTGTGGGCAGTTACCTGTAGTGTTTCGGTGTCGATCCTAACACCTTTATATAAAGTGATGGATAGTGCTGCACAACATAGGTATAGAATAAAGAATCTCTCTCTATACTTATTAACATCAATGTTTATACAGTAAACTGATTGATGGACACAGAGAGTTGATTAAGATGATTGGAAGCCAGTGAATGACTAATGGGACAGGGTAAACAACTACGGAAGCTGATTGGGATGATTGGAAGCCAGTGAATTGTCTAATGAACACAGAGTCTGCAAGCAGACTGATAGAAATGACAGGAAGCCAGTGGATTAATTGGTATGACATAGGGATTTAGCAATTAGGTGATGGTAAGCAGGCGGGATGTAGTAGCCCTGATCTCTGTTCATTGCTGGCTGGATCATTTCTTTGTACTGAGGTCTTGTGTTCTTTTATTCTAATGGGTAGGGGCCTGGATGTTTCACCTACATGGGAGTCGCCAGTCACATTGTATGTGATATACGGCACCAGCTGGGTCTTCTTTCTTAGATGTAGAGGGCCTGCCATTGGCGCTGAGGATGTTCTGGATAGCCTGATTCTCTGGAATACTGTATCAATGTTGGCGTGGTGTTTGAGCAGTCTGCAAATCTGGTGGCTGGCTGTTCCTATGTAGGGAAGACGGATGACAAACGGGGCTGTCTGTTGTCGTGGAGGCCGCTCTCTGGGGCTGAGGATGCTGTTGATTGTTTGTTCAACTAGGCTGGTAGGATAATTGTTGAAGTTAGTGAAGACATGGCGGAGGTGGTTGAGTTCAGTTTTTAGCTGTTGTGGCGTGGAACAGATGTTGACGGCACGTCGGGCTAAGGTGGCGATAATTCCTCTCTCCATTTGTGGTGGATGGTTGGAGGAATGGTGAAGATACTGATCGGTATGGGTTGGTTTACGGAAGACACTGGTATTGAGTTTGTTGTTGTTGTCTTTCTGTACACTTACATCTAGGAATGGTAGTTGTCTGTCAGCTTCTTCTTCCATAGTGAACTGCATCCTTGGGTGTTGGGCATTCAGGTGGTTGAGGAGGGTCTTTGGGTCATGGTCAGGGATGAGAATGACAAAGGTGTCGTCGACTTTCCTAAATCAGCAGAGGTGGGTGATAGATGATGTGTGGAGGGCGGTTTCTTCTAGGTCCGTCATGTAGATTTCTGTGATGATAGGAGACAGTGGGGATCCCATGGGAAGGCCATGTGTCTGTTGGTAGATCTTGTCTTACCAGGTGAAGTAGGTGGAAGTAGTGCAAGAGGTTATAAGTTTAGTGATACTGTCTATAAATAGAGGCGGGTGAAAACTTCAAACCTTTGGAAAGAACTGCAGTTTCTCAATGTTTTAGAGTTCTGCTGCTGAGGTTGATGGCGGTCTTCTTGAGGTACTCTTCAGTAGATCGTGGTTTCCTGGGGTTGTTGGATGGTTTCAATTTTTTGGAGTTTGGCAATCTGTGTTGTCTTGGTTGCTGCATCCAGTTTCTGGTTGGCTTGGTCTGGATGCTTCTGAGGGTGGAGTAGGTGTCAGCGTGTAGGAGATTCTGGATATGATCTTGTTGTTTGGTGATACTGTGAAGAGTCAGGGTCTTGGTTTTGCGGTGATGTCGGATTCTCTCTTTGACAAGTAGTTGAGATGCTTTCTGTAAGATGTTGCGGGCTGCCTAATTGCTTAATCCCTATGTCCATCCAATTAATCCACCTGCTTCCAATCATCTCTAACAGTCTGCTTGCTTACTCTGTGTCCATTAGTCATCCACTGGCTTCCAATTATCTTAATCAGCTCTCTGTGTCCATCAAACAATTAAT